TAATGCTTTAAATTTTATAGAATGTAAAATTATTTTCATACATTTTATTATTTCTGTTGACATTTATTACTTTTTGTTTTAACATATGTTCTGTGGAGCTTTTTCTCATCTCCAGGGATGGAATCAGAGATTTTTTGAAATTTTTTGGTGGGTCTGTTTTTTTAATTCTCAAAAATCTTGTCAATTTAAGTAAATTTTACAAAAATGTACCTAAATCATAGCTACATCTCTGCTTCTCTTCAAGAGCTTTCAAGAGTTGAAATAAAAACATGCTTTATTTTTGTTTCAAAAGATAAGATAAAATATGATGAAAATTTTAAAAATTATTACAGCTGCAAGAGATTTCAATTTGAATAAATTAAAGAAAAAAATTATTTTGAGCCTCAAAAAAGACTTGAGAAACTTTATCATTGTGTCGTGTCTCCGGAACGTAATTTGAAAAGCTTTGTAGTAAATAAACAGAGGAAGAGAAGCATAAAAGACTTAATTTGTGGAGGAAGAGCTCAAATAAAAAATAGCTTTTGGTGAATTATTTCTTTTTTGAGTATTCAGAAAATATTTTCTTACTTTTCCATTTGTAAAATTACCAAAAAGCTTTTGTAGACAGTAAATGGAAGGAGTCGTTTATAAATTATGTGTAACTTTTAGGAAGCTAACGAAGAGGTCAGAATTTTTGAATGAGAAATTTAATGACAATAGGAAGAAATAGCCTGAAAATGTTTTTTTTATAGACGTCATTGACGAACGAAACCGAAAGGCAAGTTTCATAAAATTATTTCAGAAGAAAAAATTTCGCTGTTTGACGTCATTCATGAGCAGAGCTTTAACAGTTTGGATCTTAAGAGCTAATGCCACGCGTTATTCAATCAAGCTCTGATCTATAATTTAAAATAAGATCCAAGCTACTTGTTTGATTCGTGATTTTAGCCAACGTTATTGCAATAATTAACAGAATAAACTAAGCCACTTCAGCTCTCTAGATTAATGTGTAATAATCAAAAAATATTATTATTTTGATAGATTGAATTTTACTCAATACTATTATTTCTATCAATACTATTCTAGTTGATTCCCTATAAATTCAAAATAATTTAAAATAAATAAAATCAAGATTTTAAAATAAAAGTAATTTAATTATAATTAAGAGAATTTTAATAATCATTGTCTTATTTTATTTGCAAAAAATCATTAAAAATCTAATTAAAATTTTTAAGTGTGCAACAATATCTCTACTTATAGTGCTAAAAAATACCAATAAGGAAGCTTAAGGTTATTAAGTTTAATTTTAATCATCAGCATTTTATCCAGCAAAAATTCTTCTTCATCCTCTTCAAAAATATTAACAAAACAGAAAAGTTTCTTTGATACTCGTACACAACAAAGTGTACAGCAATTAACAGACTCAAACAATTTCAGTGAATGATAAAACTCATTTCATAGAAAATGTCATCATAAAATAACTTTTATAACATCACGACAGTCATGATATTAATTTTTTTCGCTTTATTCTCTCCTCAATAATAACAATAATCATAAAGTTTATTAAAAATCTCAATAAAATAGCAGTTATTTAATGAAATGATGCTATGAACTAGCTATCTTCATTAACAAAATGGTCTTATCTGAAGTATACTAGTGAGCCTAAAGAATACAAAGAAAACAGTCACCATCTATTAGGAGACAAGAGGGAACTCCCACAAAGTAGTTTACATTGAGCGTAAAAATGAGAATATTGACAGAGTCTTGATGATTTCGTGTCTGCGACTTTTAACTTTGTTCCGAAAAAAACCCACCTTTGCATTCTAAATTTTTAAATTCATTATTTTTATTCCTGGCTACGTCCATGCCGTTTTTCAGCCTCCCACACTAGTATTTGTTGCCATTTGCCAAATCTCTTAAGAACTCAATGCTACAATTTTCAATTTCATCGCTTATTTCTGCCGGCTTACATTTTCTATTTATGCTTACATTTACTTATTGTATGTGTAAGATTGAGGGTATGTTAGGCTTGTGTGAAGTTGGTCTGAAAATTTTAATTTGCTTCTGAATCCTTAAAAATATCTCTTTAAGCTAGTATAAAGCTAGATTGAAATCAAAACGTTAAGCAAGGCACTAATCTGGCAATTTGCTCACGCCTGACCTCTCCAGGCGTGTTTTTCGTATTTCTAAGGTTACGGACCATTTGAGAATTTAAATCAAACTCATCAACAAACTTAAACTTTCAGCAATAGTGAAGAACTGATCAAAAATTATCAAGATTTATTAAAATGATCAAAAATCAATTTGATCAGTTCTTAACCCTTTATTTTCATACCAACTTCACACAAATATTCATCTGATTGTGTATAAATACTTAGACATACTTCTAATAGCATTTGCGATTAGTTTTTATAGCTGAATGAGATTAAATGATGATAAAAACAGCTACCTCACGCTGATGATTTTATTACTTTCCATCATATAATTGGACTCAGACTATGCATAAGACCATTTCCTCTTTCCTTTTACTCTTCTTCTTCTTTCATCTCTCCGATGATAATAAAAATAATAAAAGTAAAACACGATGAGAAAAACATAAAAATGGTAAGCCGACATTTTGTGTTCAACTTAAGATTTAATTTCATTTAATTCCTTTCCTCTTTTCCTTTTTATTTTCACTTGGTTGATGGTCTGTCTGTCCGCATGGAGTTTCGAAATGAGAATTTAATTAAATTCAATCTTTAAATTTATTTTTTTTTGTTCGTCGTTCATTTGTGGAAAGTTGGAAAATTGTGTTTTGGAAAGGGATTAACGCATTTTGAATGGATTATCATTTAGATTCTAGAGAATCTACAATATTAATTTTGAGGTTAATAAATATTTCAATTTTAATGCTTAAAAGCCCGAAAATTCTAGCAATTTTGATGACTTTAAATGAACAAATACTCTAGGAACCTTTAAACTTTTGAAATACCTAATTTTTATCCCTCAAAGCCAAACACTCAATTAAATAAACATTTTAACCTACACAGAATCAATCCATTGCTTTGATTGATGCCCCACGCAAAAAAAAGATGAAATATCAAAATACGGTTGTAAAAATTCCTAGAAGGAGCTTCACAAAAAATTGTAAATAAAGCTCAAAAAAAGTTCAACCTCTGTTCCATAAAAAGATATTCTTGTCCTCTCCATAAACACCATCGATGTCATTTTATTATAGTTTCTCGTGGAATAACCGCGAGTAGACAGACAAATTAGAAATTCATAACATACCGTACTTTTAAAAGCCAACATAAATCGTGTACAGCAAAAAAGAAGGAAAAAGGGCAAGCAGAAATGGTTTTATGAGTTGTTTTTATGATCTCGTCCTCATCTATGATCCAAATGTGAAATGTCCATGACAGAGTTAAGTATTCCATCCTTATAAATATTCATGTAGTAATTAATTAATGAGATATCTTATCAACTAACAATTTTGCTTGAAAATATTTACACGAGGTCAGTAATTCTAGCTAATTAATGAGATTTGACTACCCATGGAGCCTAAAAGTATTATGATTTTGGATTGTTATGTTTATGTCCTTAAAAAAGGTTCTCAGATTTCATTTTCAATTTACGTATTGTTGTTAAAATGAATTGAGCTTTTAAGATCTTTAACCAACACTTGTGAGGAAATTAAGAACCATTTCCGACATTTGATCTCATTTTGGGATGGCTTCTTAGTTTTATTGTTTCTTTAGGTTCTTCTCTGAAGATTAGTTTTGTTATTAATAATTAAAACATTTTAAGATTGAAAATAAAAGCAGAAATCAATTCACAATCAAACTAGAAAGCCATACCAATGCATGATATTGAATATCAAAATTGCCATTTATAGTAAAATCTCCTTACAATCTTAGTTCATCACTCATTCTTTCATCTATGTTTAACACAGGAGTCGTTCACTTATGACGTCCGATTTTAACGGTCATTTTTTCAAAAAAGAACAATGGAATTCCAGGAAATTCCATTGTTCTTCTATTGATCTTTTCTTGCAGACCCCCTCCCCCCCCCACACATGGACGTCTTAGGTGAACGTCCCCATAGTATGATATGTCTATAAATATTGAAGTAAGCTACTATAATTTAATTAACTTAACATCCACATGAAATGCTTCAAAAGATCAAATCAAAAACTTGAGAACATCATTGTCGATGTCTATTTGGAAGCAAATAAAAATAGAAAGGATGTTCAAGTTTATGTGATCTTGGAAAGAATGTTAAACGACGCTTCTAAGTAATAGTGCATTATAATCAGCTTTCAAAGTCCAACTTAGGGGCAGGGACCCTATTTTTGTAAATGTTCTTCTTTTTTTCTATGAGATATGAAAACTGAAACTATCCTCCCAATGCTAGCAAACAGAAATTTTTGAGTTCTTATTATTCGAACTTCGAATTTTTGTGGTTCTTATTTTTCGAAAATCGAATCTTCGAAGTTCTTATTTTTAAAAAAATTCGTTGTGAATTATTATTTTTCGAGTAATTTGTAATTATAGTGAACATTCCTACTAGTTTTTTTGATTAAGATAATCACTGTGATGAAATTGCATTCCTTAAATGTTTATGCTTTAAAAAACAGCTATTTTAAAAAAATAAAAAAGTAACGGACTTCCTTATTTTGAAATTTTTAAAAAAATACATGGCGAAAATTTTGAATTTTTTTTGTTTGTAACGGACTTTGTTCTCTTTGCTAACATTGGCTATCCTCTAGTAGCTACGAGGGAGAACATTAATCCCATAACCCACCACTCCCACCCAGCCTAAGTTATTGGAAGTTACTGGTAAATTGGTTCGGATCCCACTGTAAACTGTGGCTCAAAAGTCCCTAATTCTAATTCCACGGGTGTATTAAAATCCACCAAAAATTTGTCACAAGAAAATCACAATTTTCTATTAAACGAATTGCTACACAGCAATTTATTTGCAGGAAATGTCAATATTTGCCATTAATTTTCAATTATTCAGCTTGCCAATTAATTTTTCGACACATCATCAATCACACAATAAAACTTTTATAAAGTTCAATATTCTATTTATTATCTACATACAATTTATTCCTAATATTATTAACGACCAGTCAAAAATAAATAATAAAGCACATTATTCTATTGAATAGAACTTGGGCTATAAAATCAATATATATCAAATTTCTATTTACTCTTATACATAATTCTTGAAAAGTTGATCCCATCGATATGTTTGAAAAGGATTGTTTTTATCGATGGGTCGCTTTTCCATATTTTGTTGTATGTGCTGATTATAAGCTTGAAGAAAAGGCGTCGTTTGTTGATTTTGTTGCTGGAAATTTGATTGACGTTGTCCCACCACCACAGACGCTGATGACGATGGGAATGACGATGATGCTTGATTACTGTTGTATTGTTGTTGATGATGATAAGAAGATTGCTGTTGGCGCTTAACGAATGAATGAAGTTCATTATTTGCAATTTTGATGTTATTGTTGATGCTGTTGTAATTCTGTGTCCGCTGGTGTTGATTCACATAAAATGGAACGCTGTTTGATGTACTGCTGCTACTGCCTAACATTCTTTTATTATCATATTCTGTGTTGTACGTTTTATACGTGTAATGGGCGGCTGAATTTTTCCGTTGGGTATTAATTGAATTCAATTCCAGGGTAACGTACTCATTACCTGCGTTTACAACAACATCTTCGCCTAATTGATGCTTACATAAGCCAGGATATTTTGATGAATCAGACATACCGTAATTACGACACTTTGGATATCCAATTTGATACGGTTTTGCACCCAACACATTCCCACTGATGATCCATTCAATTCATTTTCATTTTTTATTCAGATTTATATTCATTTTTTTGGACGTTCATGTTGATTATTATTTGTGCATGGAAAGAGACAATAAAGAGTAATTAAAACAATTTATTAATAAAGTATTAAAAAGGATTGGGATCATTCACTTTTGATGTGCGATTTCGAGATTGGGAGAGGAAGGAGGTCTATATGCAACTATTTTGTTTGATGTACGATTTCGAGATTTAAAAGGATTTTTTGGGAGTTTTCATTATAAATCTCAAATTTCCACGTCTTGGATTAAAACTAGAAATAACTAGTCGAATGAAGTAGCTTTTCAAGAACCCTGAATCCAAAAATCATACTTTGAATCCCAAAACATCCTTGTATGACAAAAAAATTTCAGTATTACAGAGCTTAAAGCTTTAATTAAATCACTTGAATTGTATTCATGTGTACGATTATGTACGAAAAAGCTCCAAAAAAAAGGAAAATCGATGAACGTAAATCGCAGTCATTCATTTTGGATTATATTTATTTAAAAACCTTTTTTCAATTTCACGCTCATGACACATAATCATCATAGCCGTAATCACTATTATTAATAATCATTTGTGCGTTATTCGTTTATACTTGAAAAGGTGTTCCAACGGTACATTATTGAGCTTAATGTTTATGGTGTTGAATCAGAGTGGAATCAAGGGTATCGAGTCATATATAGGCAAATATGCTAGTGTGAGAGTTAAGCCTCTGTGGTGCGAGTGATTAGACAATAGGCAGGAAAACAATTAACATCTTTTTGTGAAGACATGGGTTTGATTCCTACTACAGACGGATCTCTCAATCATTATTTATCGTATTTTCGACAAATTTTCGCATAATGATCACAAAATTGAAATATACTCGAAAATCCTGGATTTTAGGATGTAAGAAAGCGGTAGCCAGCAATAAAGCCAATTTAAGCGCTATCTAAAGGAGGCTATGGATCATAATTGATCTATACAGTCAACGAAGTAAAGAGAAATTAACAATTTCCTCATTTATTATAAGGGTTTGTTCACTTATGACGTCCATCAAAAAACCTGATTTTTAGACCCCCTCCCCCCCTCTGTCACAAAAATTCTATGGAAAAAAATTTCCATTGTTTGAACTGTCACATAATCCTAGACCCGGCTCCCTCTAAATGTCGGACGTCATACGTGAACGGCCCCTAAGGGATTGGACCTATTCGCTTACAACAAACTTCCAACAAGCATTAAAATAATTTATAGATGTACAAAAGAATCCGCATCGTGAATTCACATTTATGTCTTTTATTGAACGATTTTGAAATGAAAATTGGTTCTGATCCAAAGTACGATAATGGAAATGTGAATTATTCAAATATTTTCATCACAATGCGCGTGCATTAAAACATTTATTTTTTTTTCATGCTGAACGAGAGGAAATAAATAGTCATCAATCACCATGATGACGTGGTCTGATTGTGTGCGATATAAAATTGGTTTTTATGGATAGTAAAAAGTGAAAATTAGATTAATTTAATTAAAATTAATATACATACCCTGGTCCATAATTGCAAACGTATATTTTGTTGAACAATCCATTATTTGTATCCTGATAATATGTGAAACCGCATCCTACCAGATTAGTATCACCCCATACGAGCTGCGAATGTGAAAATTATAAATTTGAAAAACTTTTAAATAATCGCAATGTGGAAATAAATAAAATGAGAAAAAGGCTGAAAATTGCTACGAAATCTAAATTGCAGCTATAATCAGCACTTGCTATGTAGATTTTTTTAATTAATCGCAATATATGCTCATGTTATGCTGCTGAAAATTAACTAATTTTATGATAATTAGATTTACTGTGTTGCGAGGAACGTGGAAGTGAATTTGAAATATTTTGAATAGCTGCGAATGCTAGGGAGAATTCAAGGTTTAAAAATAAATCAAAGCTATGAAACATTTTGAAAAGTCAATTATCTTAAAAAATGAAGCTTTTTAATTACCAAAGCTAAGATCAAGCTTGAAGCTGGACAAAAACTTGAATTTCATTCGATCATCCTTTTAAGATCCACAAAATTTTCATAAATTGTTAAACATTTAGCGCATGTCCTCAAGCGATTCGGTAATCACAAATTTAAATAAACGAAAAGTGTCTGTCCTTGTAGCTGAAAATCATTACAGTCAAAAAATTACAGCAGTTAATGAAATTAACAGTAATGAAGGTAAACGTTTCGAACAAGAACTTTCTTATATTAAAAGTAATTCTGATTCAATTACAAAAAATTGTTAATTGTACCGCATTAACAGAGCACAAAGAAGAGTGAAGCAAAAAACACAAAAAAGGTAAGAAAGCTCTAAGAAACAGAGGAATAGAATATTAGTTCAATGGATTTTATGGGAGTAAATGAAAGAAAATAAGGATAAAAGAACCTTGTTGAGAGTTTAAGTAGATTATAAGCGTTTATTGATCGTAAAATATTTAAAGCTGGTGCATTTAAATGTCTCAAAAAAATCTGACTTATCAAGTTTATAATTTATGCCAAAAGATGGCTAGCAAAGGCATAGCCAGAAAGATCCAGCAGGGTGCGGAATCCACCATGAAGAATAAAACTTTAAATTTTTCAGAATTTAACGAAGCTTCAACTTGGAAGTTTATAACACATCTATTCAGTAGAGTATTTTTCACTCTTTTATATGGGATTTGTGCGTCGCCTTAGATCTAGCCTGCATAGATTGTCTGTTAGAATAAATAACATGTACCAAACCATGCTTTTTAATATGAAAAAGGTGTTGAGTTCATAACCCGATCAGCACACATTGAAATTCAATAAAATGTTTGACACCCAGCTGCCGGGTTGATAGTATTGTTAGAACCAAGCAACAGCCAATTGGCAATGGCATTTCAATGTGTGCCGAACGGGTAAATTTTTTTCTCCAACACGAATAGTTACAGATAATTTTTTTTAGAATATCCTTGTTCCCCTAGATCCACCTATTAAATGCAAGAGTGAATCAGGTTGAATTTTATGTGCTATCACGTTGGTGAAAATCTTCTGAATTATAAATACAAATTCACTAAATTACTGACTATAGAAAGTAAGCCACTTAAAGCCATTTGTGAAGTGGTGATACCTCATAAGAGTAAAGTGCTTTCTACGATATATTTGAGGGTCTAGGAAGGGTCAAGACTTCAAAACTTTTTAACTCTTTGTGTCACTCGTGTTCACTCCTACTTGAGCTACAGTATTTTCACACCTTTCAAGGCCTTGAATAAACTACACTAAAATTGTTCACAAGAGAACCCCCAACTTGCTCCATTTTACAGAAACAGCAAGAAAAAAAAAAATGTAAAACTTCCCAAAAAAAGATTATTGTTTTAATAAAGCAATTTTCCTCACTAAACGATGCTGCTGCTTCCTTAATCTTAATTACGTTATGGCACTCTCTTCCTCTTCTGGAGTGTAATGACAACAAAACATTTTAATGACTTTTTTTCACGCGAACTTTTTTTTCTACTTCTCTTTTAGCTTCCTTTGCATTCTGTTACAATATAATACGGTTAAAATTTGAAGAGGATTAAAATTGTTCTTCACTCCTTTCTCGCATGTCCTGAAATCCGACAAAATCCGTTTTGTGAAACTTTGTCCTTTTGCGGATGTAATCCTTTCTTCTTACTTAACAAATACACTGCACAGTTGTACACTTTTTTTTTGTGAGATGAAAAATCTCAATTTTATGCTTCAAATGCAAAGTCCTTGATCCACTTAAGTATTTTCATTTATTTCATTGTCTTTCTAGGTATGAAACGCACTCAACCCGGGCTCAATTTGCTGAGAATGAAAGAAAAATGAAAATGACACAAATTTGTGTTTCATTTCCATTTCTCGTGGAGCCAATTATGTTAAAAAGGAGTACGTCTTTTTGTGCAAATAGAAAAGGAACGGACAGGCTTATTAAGCTATTTATAAAAGAAGACATTTCAATCATTTGTGTCATTCTCATACTTAACTTTGTCATGCTTAGATAAATAATCAGGAAACTGGGTTTTGGTACATTTGATGTCATTAATAATTGTTGAAATGTTATTTTTAAGCTAGGATGGCATTCATTATGATACAATGCTCATTAATTAGAGGAAAAAAACGAGAAAATGTAGAACAAATTGCAGCACATAGCTTAGGAGCGAAAGAATTAAGTTTCATTCTAGAAATTCTTAAAGAGCCGAGTCAAAACTCTCGAAATACAGAAAATTTAAATATCAACAACTATAAAGCAATGAAAAGTGCATAAACCTGAATAGATCTTGGCAAAAAAAAATTCTTGGATTCAGCAACGTACTTGCTCGGACCAGTTTAATATTAATGCTATAATCTTAGTCGGGAACTATCTGAAATTGCTTCGGAAGCTTTGTTTTGTAGCTTAAATCTTCACAATTCATTTAAATTGATAAAAACGACGAGATTAAGAGTGTAGGAATGAAAATTCAGGACTTGAGACTAAAGATCGTTGCCAACTCTCTTGTTCTACAAATTCAGAACTTTTACATTCTAAAAGATTGTAAAAAACTTAAAATAAGAACAAAGCTTTGAAAGTCTTACTTAAATGGCCCATCAAAAAGCTTAAATCAAAGCTTCCATTTCCTTTAAAACTCCCTCCTCTCATTATCTCAACTAAAATCTTAGCTTTCTCCTTTTTGATCTTATTTAAAAAATAATTCAGCTTTTATGGGTTATAGAAAATTATTTTAAGCTTCCAATTTAAAATAATGGAAGTCATCGCAATGAAAATGAAGATGAAGCTTCAGAGAGTTGAGCAAATAAATCCTAATTCTGCAATAATATGGATCTTCATTTCATTCTACGCGCTTTCAATTTTCCTCTTTCAGTCTTTTGGTCGGGGATGGAAGAAAAATTCAAAAAAAAATTTCTATTACAATTTTTTTTATGGAAATTGGCGAAAATCTTTTTTTATTATTTTATTGTCGTAATTTTAACATTTCTGTCAGCAAAAGCAACTAAATTTAGGGGAGAAAGAGATTGGAAATGTCGAAAGAGGAAAATAAAAAATAAATAAATAAATGAAAAATCCATTTAATCTCTTCGCTTCTTTTGGTTCCTCTCATGATTCTTTATCTTTGAGATTCCACTCCGACAAAAATAGTAACACAAAGAATTATAAAAAAAAATTGAAATGAATGAAAAAAATCCTTAAAATGAATGAGATTATTTTCATGTTGTGACGTGATGGATTTTTCTGTTATTTCAGCATAGCATCAACAGTGAGTTTGACGTCCATTGGGGTATTTGGGAGATTTTGTTGGAGTTTGAAAAATATTTTGATAATTTGAGATTTTAATAGAATTATTTGGTTACATTCTTAATTCAAGGAACTGTAAGAAACCATCTAAAAATTGTCAATAATTTATTTAAATTTTGGTTATTGATCTGGTCAATTTCTATTCAGATGAGCTTATTATTTCTAGTATATTGACATTAGCAATTAGCTTATATTGATGACTAGGTTATTAATTAATTTATAAAAATCGCAAATTTTTTATTTCCAAAATCTCAAACCAAACCTAAAATACGATTTATACGATTCTATAAAACCCTTAAAAAAATATTCAAAATCACTCATAAATTAATTATCACTTGAAAAAAAATCCTCCCAAAAATCCCCACAAGCTCATCACTCAATGTGTAAAATTAGTTAATTTTCAGAGGGATAAAGCAATCAAAAATTCATTGAAACTTCTTTGCTGATGTTTCATGTCACTTTGAATTTCCTTCTGATGTCAAATTAAATTTTTGAATTAATTTGCATTCTCATTAATATCTTTCTATACTCACTTGTGAATAATGTCCCGTCTTGACAGACCATTTCGCACCCCATGCGTACTTTTGAACTTCGTTAAACCAATTTTTGACTCGTGACGGAAAATCACCATCATCGTCAGCAAGAGGAATTGTACTCCATAGCAATCCAACATTCTGTCCCATGATGAAACGATCTAATGAATAATAAATGAATGACAATTAACATTTTTTTAATTTTAAATTTTTTTTTTGATATTTTTTGCTGTTGAGGACCCAAAAATTTTTTTCCATCGCCACTCGAGCGGTTTTCATTTTCATTAAAATTGCTGTGTGATTGTCAATTTTTGCCCTGTTTTTAATATTGTGTTGATTATTCTCGAAAAATTCAGGATTTCACATTTTTTGAAAGGTTGCGGAAGGGAAAAAAGGGTTGAAAAATTAATTTTTGATTGCTTCAATTTTTTATTCTTCATTTCCATTTCCATTTATTGATTCATTTACCAAATGAATAACTTTTATCCATTATTGTGTTGTTATTCAATTGAAGTGCCGCTAATCAAAATCAATTGAACCGTAAAAAAATCATTTTTTAACTCAATTTGATGCTTAAAAATTTGAATTGAATTTCAAGTGACGAACTTTTTCCATCAAAATCAAATCAAACTCAATTAAAATTGTTTGGAAATAAAAGCTTTTCTCAATATTTGCTTCATGCATCATCGAACTTTTCAATTAAATTCTCATTCAGTCGTTTCAGTGCTTGAAAGTTGATAGTTTTTGATAAAGAGAAAAAAAAATTTTTTAATTGAATATTTAAAACTGTATGTGCTGGTTGGTGCTCTTTTAAAAACATTTAATGAATTTTTTGATTAGCCGAAAACATATTAATTTGTAAAAATTTCAAATTTAGAGTTTTGGGAAGTTTTTGCGAAACTAAGTTCATATTTTTAGGTGCTTTTTGTAATTTTTGTTTATTAAGTTGAAATTTGATGATTTAATTTATTTAAAGAAATGAATCAAAAACTTCAATTCAGTTTCAAACAACATATATGATTAAGACTAGATACATCTTATTTGAATTAAAGATAATCAATTCGAGGGCATTCTGCATTAGACTTGGATAAATAAAGCAAAATATCATCAAATGGTTCATTTAAAACTTTCAACTTATTTATTGCTTCTGGAATCATTACCGCAACATTTATAAAAGTCTCTGAAAACAAACAATATTGATGAGTCTATAATAAATTCATAGAGTAAATTTAATCAAAATTTGCATCAATAAACGAACAAATTTTTTTTGTCATAAAAAAATGTTTAATTGAATATTCAAATTTAATGAAATTTGATAAGTCAACTCGAGCATGAATAATTGAATTTCAATGACATTTTATCATCAATTTAAAATAGATTTAAATATTTCATCAAATTGTTGCCTGCATGCTAAAAAAATACAATCTAATTTTGTGATAATAAAATTAATTAATTGGAATGTTCAACTGACTTGTCCAGATGAAAAACTTAAAAATTTAAAGGTTTATGGGAACTTTTAAATTCAAAAATGGTCATTGAAAAAAATATTATTTCTGGATATTTGCTTACATTTTAATATTAATGTTCATCTTGCTCCCTTACACTAAGTTCATTTGCGACCCAATTCTCACAAATCCATTGCATCAAATAACATCCAACTTACCGTAAAAAAATGAGAACCAACAACGTTAAACAATCAAACCACATTTTTTATGTGGGATTTCGAGATTGACAAAAAAAAATATTCGAATCCAGCATTAAACCAATTAACGATTATAATTATTTGCCTTTCATTATTAATACAATGTTTGCATTCAGGTTGCATAAAATGCTCAATTCATTTTAATTTTAATTCATTGATTTTTCATGATTGAATGATTTAAAGTTTTATTTTTTAAACTGAACCTGTTTTTTGCATCCAAATTAAAGGAAAATAAAAACATGCATAAATTTGTAAAGCTCACCTAGATAACGACTTGGATCATGAGCAAATGTGCATACGTTTGACCACATTTGTGCTCGAACAGCAAGTTCATCGTCCCAGCGCATCTCTTGCATGTTCTGTGCAGCTGGTTGACCTGGAAAAAAGTATTGAGTGTAATAAGATAAAATTGAGGGTGTAAATTTTTTTTTTATTTCCTTTGCATCTGTTTGAAGCAATGGGGGTTGACTGTTGGATTTATTTAGGGAAAATTTCTGAGATTTAGGTAGATAGGATGGTGTGAGACTTTGTTTATATTAAAAATATAATAATGTGACAAAGGAGAGGGGTGGAGTGGGGCTGAAAATATAGTTGTTCCTGTCACGTAATTAGTGAACTTCCCTTTGTCAGTTTCAAATGATTATGGCTAGTTCTGTCAGTTTTTAATAATCAAAATTACGTCATTTTCAAAGTGATGCTATTGGAGAGTTTGTAAATCCATAGTTTGATAGACGTGATACTTAAGTGCACCATCCAAAGGCTTGAATTACAATCACAAAACCTGAAAGCAATTCCCCCTTGCATATAATGATATCTTTATGTGTCATACCTGGTACGTGACCTGTTGCAACTGTTTGCCTCAAGAAATTGTGCTCCTCTAATATCAGTCTTCTCTCTTCATCCGTTATACCCTGTTCTGCATGAAGAAATATTATATTAATAGTTAGGATATTCTCATTCAATCGTGTGTATAGCATAGAAGAAAAAAATAACATATAATCATCAGATGCGATTCTTGTTTCTCACTTTTATATCTGAATGAAGAGATCAACGACACGACATTTTCATTAATGGAAAAGTTTTCGTCATGCTTTAATTCATTCAAGATTAGAAAACTTGTTTCTGTTTCTTCTCTCTTGACAAATCTCTCACGATATCAGTGGCGGTAGTCATGGAACTGAACACATGTGCTTCATAATAATATTTCTTATTTAAAAATTATTTTTTTTGTTGTTTTTCCAAATCAAAATAAGAACGAGAATGAAAATGAACAAACAAGTATAAATGTTGTTTCTAATTTATTGTTATGGCGCATTCAAATTAATTTTAATTAATTAATTCACTATTCGTTTAATTTGTCACCATCTGTGCGGTAAATGAATCACCCGAATAAGTTTAAAATATTCAAATAAAATGTTTATTCTTACAAATATATTCATTCATGGAAAAAAGCTGCTCTTTGATAATTTTAATATATTCTGGAGTAGTCTTTAAATGCAGGATAAAAGTCAGAGTTCATTCTGTTTTTAATTGACGGTAAACAACCTTAGCTTCTTCTTTCTAGACTTGATTTGTTTGATTAACTTTTGGTATACTTTTAAACGTTTCTAGCTACACTTTAAAATTGTTAAAATTATCAGCCAGTAACGGACCTGGAGACATTGTGACCTACTGAAAATTGGAAAATTGGATCTAGAGGCTTAAAATTTTTTAATTGGCTGCTGGACACACAACTGCTTAGTGAAGATTATGCGCTACAAACTGAGCTAGCGTACATAATAAAGATTTAAGAATTATTAAATTTATGAATAGAATTGTAGCGCTTAAAGGTTTAGTAACACTGTTGCACAATTTAAGATGAAAAAATTGAATTAAATTTTGTATACGTTTGAGACATGGAATTAAAATTATTATATGTTCTGACAAAGAAGATTAAAGTCTTTTTTTTATTGGCTACAGACACAAATTCCATCAAAGGATTGGTTAATATTCCAATTAAAGTTTAAGACCTAGGATTTAGCGAAAAGTCTCTCGAGCCTTATCTCGTTATTAGCTCGCCAAACTCTCATAAAGTGCACAGTCTTGAATCAAACTTTATCCGAATAGCTATTTCATTGTTGTTCCAAAATTAATTTTTAAATAACAAAACTGAATCAATTTTTGACAAAATTCCTTAAATTCAGATTCAAACTTGTTTTTTCGATGATGCAAGAATTTTTATAATCAAGTGATAATAATTTTAATCCCATACATTGTATTCAATTCCAACTTTATTCTGAGTGGTAAAAATTTCCGATGGAAATAAAAAGTTTATCAGTAAAACCCACACAAAATTGTAATAAAATCATAAAAGTTTCATCGCTGCTGCCGACAGAATATCAAAATAGAAAGTTGTTGTCAAGTCCATAACCTATCCACTACATTTTTAACCAAGTCATCACATTCTCTTCTTTATGCATAAAAATAAAACAATATTTTGAGGAAACAAGTCAAAATTGAGTTTGAAGCACCTCATCAGCCAATGAAAAGTCGCTAAAATGTCTTGAGATTGTGAAATGAGAAGAAAACAAGACATTCTTTTAATATTCTCACTCTCATGTGTGTGACAAGGAATCATCGTGTGAAGAAATATAAATTAGAAGATTAAGCTGGAATTATATTAAACAAGCACACAAGTTTCTTGCTTCACTGTAACTTTTTTACTTTAATGATGATTCTTTCTCCTGAAATGCTTAACACAAAATAAAAACATTTTGACTTTTTATGCTGCATGTGTGACGTCAAGAGATGTTTAAATTAGTAATTAATAAAATTATTAATCTTAATGTCTCTTGCATGATTTATGAGCTGTAAACTTTGTAGATGGGAGAAAATTAAGATGAAAAGTTTGTTGTATTTTGTTTAATGAACTCGTGCTGTTTGCTTTAACACAAATTATTGATTCTTAATATGATTTTGACCTGATTATTTTCGAGAATCAGATGTTAGATCTTAGCATTGAGCTAACCGAATTTATTTTTTACATAGGTTTGTTTTGACCGACTAGGATTGCAATAATGTAAGATCATTCAAACAAACCTATGATATATCAGTAACCAGCATTAAGCATTTGAAAATATTGTTAATAGCTAAGTTAAAATATTGTCTGGATCACTGAATTATTGTTCAAAACTAATGTTTATAAAGAAAAATTTTTTTTTGGACTTTACAACCCAAGCGTCTAAATGTCTGAACCGTTAATAATGCCAAAATCTCTACTGATTCAACAAAAATGCTTGACTGGATAGTTTCACTAAAAATCAAGCTTGACTATAAATAGAATCAGAAATTTGAATGATTTAATCGTTAATAAGCTCTTAAATTTGAAAATCCAGATGTGAAAGTTTCTCTATTCATACCAATCTACAGCAACATCGAAAAATGACATCATCATCGGTGATCAAATCAATAAATATCTATCATCAAGATATTCAATTTCAACCATCAATAAAAAAAATGTAAAGAAATTTATGAAAATGATTTGGCAAGAAGATTTTTGACTATAAAAGCTAAAATTACAGCCATAAAAAATATTTCATGGGAAATTGCTGCCATAGTATCACCTGTTCGTAATTTATTATCCTAGAACTATGAATTCATTATTTACAGAAATGATGAAAACTGAAACATGAGACTGATAACATCCCACCGACTTTTTAATGAGCCTAATCGAGGAGCGTTAAAGAATCTTCATCAGAATCAAAAGACAATCGCAAAATCGTAAATTTATTAAGCAAGACAATAAAATAAATATTTGATTAACACAATATGAAAATTTTGCGATTAAACAGTCAAGAATGATGTAAGATAAAGCCTTCACAATCATTAGCCGTGCAGTCTCTCGATTTTTTATTTACCAAACTTATTTGACGATCAATTAAAATTATACAAATCAAATTTTATTTTACGATCTTCATTTAATGGGAAATTTCTTTAAGACTCAAAAGTTGTCGTCAGTTTTTCGGCATTTCTTGTTTTAACTTGAAAAGTAAACGTTTTGTAGACATCACGAGAGGCATTTTCGTTGTTTTTGACAAACCACAGGTGCATATAACGTGCGACGTTTTATTTTTATATCAAACATTATCAAGATTCTGATGATTTTTAAGATGTTTTCAGCTTTTATATGCACGATTGAAGTCATTAAATATTTCTTTGGAAATTTTTGAAAACTTAATTAAACTTTTTTCTCTTTCTCTTTTTATTTGTTGAAGATCGCAAATTTGTTTGTTTTTAATTTAAACATGGTGATTAGCAATTGGGATGTAAGTATGAGATTGTGAGATGCATTTACGTGATCAGTTCAGGTACGGAGCTAGGAAGATTTGGTGAATGACGAAAAACGTATCAACATGAAAATGATTTTATTAAAGATCTGCTTTACTCCGTTATTCTATCGCCAAATAAGCAGAAGAGAAGCAACCTAATCAAGCATTTGCAAGCTTGTAACATCATATCAAACAGGGCATAAACCTGTGACACACCACTTTACTTTAAAAAATTTTTTGGTACTCCTTTTTGAGTACAAATCATATTTAACTGTGGCAAAAATACATAGGAGCTTGACCTGGATCGGATATTAAATGTACAATCTTTATTTTGGCGTGTAAATGTGCAAAAGATGTTTCAAAGCTTACCATTAAATTTAATTAAGAATCAATAACAATTTTAAAATGTCCAGACTGAACTTTCCCGTATATGATGTCATTTGTGCCAAACAAATATATTTTTCTATCAATTCACAATTCTTGACAAGCCAACAAGCCTTTAACAAACTTGCCAAAATATTTAATCGGCTTAAACATGAAAAATTGATCCACGTGCGAGACACATGATGAAAGTGTTGATTATGAAACAAAGGTGCCAGTAAGTGTTATTTTGCATGCGAAAAAAAAATAACAAATTTGTATGAAAATAGAACTTTTTTGCAGCAAAATAAAAAAATAAGTTAAGCCGATTAAGGAAATTATGGAAAAAAACCTCATCTGCAGAGAATTGTGGGAAAAAATTCATTCAAGATTGAATTCATTAAGAAAAGATTCGAATTTCACAAATAAAAAATATTTTTCGACAGGATCAACGTCCGAGCAGTCACAACAAGATTCAAATTAAAAAAAGATATTTTAAGAAAATTTCGTCAGTTTTTTTTTTGGGTAAAAAGTTTTAAGGCAAGTCAAAGGTTGGTTTTTAATGACATTCTACATAACTTAATGCAGGTTTTTTTGATAAATTCATTAGCATCCAGCCAAAAAAAAAGGTAATACGTGAGATTCAGCACGAATTTAAATTCAAAACGAATGTGAGAATTTTCAAAATAAATTAAGATACTTGGCTTACGGCTGTCGAAAGAGAAGAAATAAAAACAAGAAACGAATTTATTTGATGCAATTTGATGCTTATGGAATATTATCATCAATTATGATTATTGAGAATCAGCTTAAAGTTGAACTTTATCAGAGCCTTTTTTGACGAAGAATTTCATCATAACAAATAAGATTGATTGATCCTGTGGACGTTAAGGGGTTGTTAAGTTTTAAAAATAACTTAAAAATGTTTAAAATGTTAAAATATTCAATTGAATAAAAAATGAGTCACAAAATCTGTTTATCAATTCGAGTTCAATGACTGAACTTCTTGAGAATTCAATTCAAGTATTTCCTAAGCTACCTAATCAGATCTTGTTAATATTTTCTTCTTTTTTTTAAAAAAAAAGCAAATAACTTTTTTGATAAAGAAAAAAATCTTTCCCATGGACACCCGTGGATATTTCTTTTTAAAATGCATGCATATTTTCTGTTTTCTCCAACACGACTTTTTGAAATCTTCCGCATTTATTTTATGCATCGATATCAAATATCTTTCTAAGACATGAAAATTAATAATTTTTTTCCTTAACTTTGTGAAACCCCGGGGAGTGATAATGATCCATATAATCCACAGAGTCCGTAAAATATTTCATATATCAGCAAATTTTGCTTCTTCAGTAACGATAAACTGTTTTAATAATTTTTTGAAAATGTATTTTTTATGGAAATATCTGCAGCTATTTTTTTTTGTCTAGGTCAGGAATTAAATTAATAAAATTTAACTTCCAGTTGAGAATAAATATTTGGAATCAAAATCATAAAGTTAACTATCTCAATTCTCTAAAATTTACAGTTTATAGCTTTAAACCCATCCATATCGAAAATGTCAACCTTTAAGTAAGTCATAAGAAAATGTAAAACTCACAACGATGATCGACACTTGAACGAGGGAGTAAAAAAAAGTCAAAAGCACTTTGAACTTGTCAAGTCAACTGAAAATGAAAATATTTTTTTTTCATGCTGTCAGTGTAAGCAGTGGCAGCAAAAAAGTGCTTCGACATGATTTTTATGACATTTTTTACAACATCAAAATGCATAAAATGAGAGCCGTTATTCACTGTCATTTACTGCCCATCCGATTGTTGGATGTGTTTTTGTGGTTGCGATTTTTTTTTTTTTTGTCAATCATAATAATTGAATTTTTTTCTGACTTAAGTTAATTAAAAACATATCATAACTGAGTGAACCAAAAAAATCCTTATGGATTCAATGAACAAAAAAAAATCCAAGCTTGTAGCTCACATGATTTATGACTTAAAAGGCGCTTTACAACTTTTTCATCGTTCAAAATCTTTTATTTCTTATTTCTCATGAGCTTTTGACATTGAAATGCTTTTTATGATATAAACAAGAGAAAGCTTATGGCTGTCGTCGGTTCGCTTGACTTTTGCCATTGAAAAAGGAACTAATTCAAAACGAGAAATGTCTGTGCTCACAGCATTGTTGATTTTACAAATTAAAGACTCTTTGAAATGTTAAAGACTTTAGACTTTTTCACACACAAAGTAGAAGAAAGTTTTTCAAGTCTCGAAGCCATCGTGTCTTATGTCTGAAAAGTTCAGAAGAGCACGAGCTAATTATTTTTTGAGCCTTCTTTGTCGAACTTTATTTCGAGAACAAAAACAATTTTCTTTGTGCTGATTAAAATTTATTAAGACGTGTTGCAAAGCCCTTTTTCATGGAATTTCCTTTGTTGCTGTATGATAATTCGACAATTATGAGCTGTAATTAATTAAAAGGCAACAAGCTTTTTATTCTCGCTTATCATGAATAAATATGAAAACTGTAATTGCCTGTTGTTGAATTTTATTTTATTTTTTTTTTGTTATAAATTATTTATTGGACAGTAATTAATTGGTAGCTGCTGATTTTAGGCATAATTGTTGATCATTACTAGTTTTCTGTTAAATTATCAATTTTGTAACAATTGAAGCAATTTAAACTTAATTAAGGATGCGATATGTGTATCCAGAAAGAGGACCAAAAAATGCTGCTAAGCCACTGTAAATTGCTCCAATTTTCCAGCAATGTTCAATGTTAAATGCGGTATTAGGACTTAATTGTATCAAAGTTACAAAGTATTTCATGCCATGATCTTTGAGTCGTACGATTTCCCGAATAGCACATGTCGGAAAATTTAATAGAAATCCAGCACAAAGCATGCATGGTTCTGGCAACAATTTAAATTCAGAACCATGTCAGAGTCACAACGGTTTAGTGCCAGATGTCCGATCGATCAACCGACTTGTGCCATTTGGGTTAATATCACCTCCAGAATTCATTCAGTTCACGCAGTTCTCAAATAATAATCAGGTTTTATTAAAGCACTGAATTAGTCTAAATCGGTGAATTTTGAAATACTGATGCATGTAGAAATGACTTCCAGGCAATAGGAAATGGCTCAAAAGTGCAGCTATGACGAATCTTTTCCATTCAATAAAACATCATAAAAATGAGAAACAATAAATTAAAAATTAAATTCAACTCACTCAAAATCCTCCCATTCCGACAAACACAATTTACTATGCACACGATGTGCTGAATAATAAAAATTTGAAGGATGAGATGCCTCCACCAATTATTATTCATCGATTTCATTTTTGTTTTTGTTCCTTTTTCTCAACTTTTTTAATTAAAATTTTTTTCTTCAATTTTTCATTCGAGTCAGCACAAAAAAAAATATCTTTATGGCCTTTTCTGTGCGTATTGATGGACTGAATAATAATTTAATCTAAAGAATTAAAAAATTGCCACTTGTACTAAAAATGTCAGTCTCAGTCTATTTCTCTCACTTGACTTTTTTTGTCACAACACTTATCACACTTTTCTTTCCTAATTGAATGAAATTTTTCTCCTTATTGCTTTTTTTATGTCCTTCTCATTTCTCATATTTTATAAGAGCCGCGTATTACTTAATGCCACGATATCTATCAACTGTCACATTCAGACACCATTTCTAAGTCATTTAATTCATCCTCACTCACTTGCACACTTTTTTTTCTCGCTTCTCCTTTATTTCTTGTTGTCTGTTTAAAGCACAACAATTCACAAATTTTTCATTTTCATCTTCCACTTGACTCCTCTCGTTGTTTTCAAGTTAGAGACACTTTTTATCAACTTTTATTTATCTCTTCCTTTCCATAAAAATTGCTCTTGTTATTTTTATTACTAAGATCTCTTTCTACTATCAATTGCTTTCTTTCCTTATCGGACTCCCTTTTTCCTCTGTTTCTGATATGCTTTTCTATTCTATTCTATTTCTTCCTTGTTCTTTTCTTTGTAGAAAAAAAGTTTTATATTATTATTATGAAAAATATATATTTTTTTTGCTAGCTTTTTGGTCAAGCAGAAGAAAAAAAATACACGAGTTTATTTTTTTTTACTCTTTTAGCTTTACTCCGCTCTCAACGACTTCGCAAAGATCACTGATTAACAGCAGAAGAAGGCAAAAACTTTTTCACAAAAAAAAACTTAAAAGAATTGAGAACGTCTTCTTATGCTGTTGAGCTTATGATTGTGAAATGAATGGTTGGTGAAACTGGCAGATTGAGTAAGGATCTTATCTGATCAAGGAATAATTATGAAGTTATTTAATTTAAAAATATTTCAAGAAATTTAAATTCTTAGAAGATCGTTCAATGAGGTTATTCACTTATTGCGTTTGCTATTAAGGGATGAGAAGAAGGGGGTCTGAATTTTTAAGAGGGGGTTGTTGGGGGTTTAAAAAAATTGAAAATTTTGTGTGAATTTGAAAAACTATTTAACCTTTCCGAAACCTATACCCCTTAGTTTCACAGAATGAGTAAGTTTCTAGGGTCACATACTTGACGACGCGTGAGGAACTAAACAGAACTGTAATTTCTGAACTTTTTTGTATGACAGCACACCTTAGTGGTAATCCTCTACTGAAACTGCACATAGCATGCGATTTTTGCCATTTCAAGAATTTATCTACAGCAAACAAGTGTGCCGCGGCACTCAGTTTGAGCAAAGCTGCTTTAGAGTGAAATTAAAATTTAACTATGTAGAGCAGGTACCTCGGGAAGATTAGGACACTCTTTTTGAAACCATCCCAATGTTCATATTAAAGCCGACCTTCAGTTCTGTAATGTAACATTAAAAAATTTTCAAAAATGCGTTCTAATCACATCAAAATCAAACCAAAAAGAATCATAACTGGTTCTTGTGAATATGTAAAAGAGAAGTTTCTGCAAGTTTACTGTTCATCGCGAAAAAGAAATCAAGAAAAGCAAAAGAAAAAAAATAATCGGAGTGGGAGCAGTAAACTGGAAATATAAAACATCTACATAATGTTCCAACAGACATATCGGCGACAGAGGTGTGTACATTATATACTTCTCATCTTGAATCACCTGAGAAGCTTTTATAAAATAATCTTCATAATGTATTCACACAAATACAAAAGAAAACAAGGAAAAAATCAATCCAAATCGTTACTAGTTCATCGATATCGTGAATAAGAGATGGAAATAAGAAACCTGTTGCGAAGAACATGAGAATATTTTTTTTGCGTTCGCACCGCACAATATTTATTGAATGATCTGAGGATGGAAACGACAAGAAAGTGAGAAATGAGATAAAGAAGAAGGAGAAAAGAAAACATTGAAGTTCAATAGCAGATCAGCGTGAAAATGTTGCACTTCTTTGCATGTTCCTGACAATTAAATTTTTAAATTTAGAAGCAGTTAAGTACTTTGCTGGTCGAATAGGTAAAACGCTTGGCTCAAATTTGGGATGGTAACTCGAAGGTCGTCGGTTCGAATCCATCTATCTCCAAATTTGTTCTTTTTCGAAAGTTTTGATACTTCGACTGCTTAATGTACGAGATCAAGCCATAATTGGGCATTTGGGCAACATTGGATTAAGGAATGGGTCAGGAACATGAAGTGTAGGGGGAGAAATAGGAACGAGAGCTGCAAGATTACCCACGAATGGAATATTGTTAGATCGGACCTGAAAAGTATCACGTCACGCCTACAGAAGATCGAAACGAGAGCCTTAGTTTATTTGAAACCTAGATTTAAAGATTAGAAGTTTGATCCTACATAATATTAATTCATATGTATACAAATACAAAAGTGTAAAATGTGAATTATTACCGGACAGTATGTCGTCAATAAATGTAATAAAGTGCAATTAAAATGAAAAAAATGAAAAAAATTTAAAATATAATTCAAATTATTTATTTGCTTTTTCATAAAATCAGTTTCAATTGTGAAAAAAGGTAGATTTTAAACCTTACCGCCCTGAGTGTGGGATGGTCTAAAAACTTGATATTTTGACAGCTTTGAAGCCAAACTTTTACTTCTTTTATTTTCTAAAGTTATTTTAAAAATCCAATTTAACAATAATTTGAATTGGTAATCTTTCTTAGATTTTAAAAATGATTCAAACTCATTCAAAAGTTCTGATTCTCATGCTTTTGTTCTCAAATAGCTCAAAAACAAACATGATTCGATAAACCTAAAACACTTTCACTAATGCTAATTTGCATGTCTATCAAGTCTCGTGTATTGAAGAGCTGTTCTTAAACGATAAGAAATACAAAAAGATTGTATCAATTGAATGTGTGTCTTTAGGCTTCACGTTCAAACACTTTTGATATTGTTATCGATAAACATTATTGAAATTAGGTAAATTGAATGTTTTGAAAGTTTCTATGTGGAATGAAAAATAAGAAGCTCAAGATGTTTTTATTCAAATACACTATCTGAACATGAAGGGAGAGAAAAGGAAAGCAAAATTTATTCAGCAAAGATTTTTGAATACGATAAGATTACGATGAATTTATTGAGCACAAAGTTTCAGAGAAAAAAAATAGATTCATTGGTCGAGGAAAAATTACTTTCAATTTTCGGTTGAATGTTTTCAGTTTCAGAATCAAATTTCATTATTTTTGTTATCTCAAACTTAGATCAAAGATTCTGCTAAACTGCAAAAAAGCAGACTGTTATATAAACTTTTTATTGCACTATAAATCGATTCGATAATTTATTTCCTGTGAGACTTGTTTGAATCATAAACAGAACAATCATGAAGACGCCGATGAGATTGCTACTGATTTGTTCTGAAAATAAGTCATAATTTTTATTGAAACTTAATCGTTTTGAAACTTTGTTGGATGTTGCTCAATAACTTTTGAACAAGAGTGTGGAACTGAAGAATTACATTTTGATGATATTTGATCAATTTTGATCGTTTTTGATCATTTTTTGATCACTTTTTGAACATTTTTGACAATTTTTGATAGATTTTTGATCATTTTTAATGATTTTTGATCAATTCTGATCGTTTTTGATAATTTTTTGATCTTTTTTTGATCTTTTTTGATCATTTTTTGGTAATTTTTGATCATTTTTGATAATTTTTGATCATTTTTTGAACATTTTTAAGCAATTTTGACCATTTTTGATCATTTTCTGATCATTTTTGATCATTTTTGATCATTTTTGATCATTTTTTTTATCTTTTTTTGATCATTTTTGATCATTTTTGATCATTTTTTGATCATTTTTGATCATTTTTTGAACATTTTTAAGCAATTTTGACCATTTTTGATCATTTTCTGATCATTTTTGATCATTTTTGATCATTTTTGATCATTTTTTTTTATCATTTTTTGATCACTTTTGATCATTTTTTGATCATTTTTTAATCATTTTTGATCATTTTTTAATCGTTTTTGATAATTTTTTGATCACTTTTGATCAATTTTGATCATTTTTTGATCATCTTCGATCATTTTTGATCATTTTTGATAATTTTTTATCATTTTTTGATCATTTTTGATCATTTTTGATCATTTTTTGATCATTTTTGATCATTTTTTATCTTTTTTTGACCATTTTTGATCATTTTTGATCATTTTTTGATCATTTTTTGGTAATTTTCGATCATTTTTGATAATTTTTGATCATTTTTTGATCATTTTTGATCATTTTTGATAATTTTTTGATCACTTTTGATCAATTTTGATCATTTTTTGATCATCTTCGATCATTTTTGATCATTTTTGATAATTTTTTTATCACTTTTTGAACATTTTTGACAATTTTTGATAGATTTTTGATCTTTTTTTGATCATTTTTGATCATTTTTTGGTAACTTTCGATCATTTTAGATAATTTTTGATCGATTTTTGAATATTTTTTATCATTTTTTGATCATTTTTGATCATGTTTGATCATTTTTGATCATTTTTTGATCATTTTTGATCGTTTTTGATCATTTTTTTAAAACATATTTAATCATTTTTGACCATTTTTGATAATTTTTTGATCATTTTTGATCATTTTTTGACAATTTTTGACCATTTTTGATCATTTTTGATCATTTCATCAGTACCACACCCTTGCTTTTGAATGTATTCATTCATTCATTACTTTTCTTTAAATCTCTCCTTTAATTCTCATAATGTCTCTTATTTATGCAACTCATTTTGAGAAAATATATTTTAGGAACCCCCCGCGCCATAAAAAACTCATTGCTGAATACACCTCTGGTACATAACATCAACTCTAATTACTTAGTTGATACAGACATCCATTTGAAATTAATAATAAATCCTCACCCTTAAAAAAAATTTCATCCAAATCTACCTTCACATCATCATTGCTCATAAAATTGTTATCTCTTCCCACAAATCTA